TTCAACATTACACTTATTATTTACAAGCTTTTATATATGTATATACAACTTTAAACAGTATAAACTTGTTTTAATCTTGGGAATTTGGTTTTATTTATTAATATTAATAAAAAATAATGAATAAAAAATAAAAATATTTATTTTTGAAGTGCATTCTATTTCTTTATGATTTATATTTGTATTTTAAGAATTGTATTTTTATTATTTAAAGATGTAAGATTTAAACAAGTAAAGATAACTTTTATATAATTTTACAACAATAAAATTATCAGTTCACTAACAGTGTTAAATAAATATCTAAACGTTTGTAAATAATTGTGATAATTATTTGAATGTTTACACCAAAATGTAAAATTTTTTTCAAATGGCCAAGAGTTATTAAAGAAACTGGGTAAGTTTTCCTTTTACTCATTATTATTTTGTGTTTTTATTAAAAAAATGAAAAAGGTTATGCTTAAAAAATAAAAAAAAATTTATCAGTCGCGTAATTTTCTTGACTCACGTTGGTCACGTGAGGTAATGTCAGATTCTCAAAACTCCTGAAAATTATAATGTTTATTATCGCCACAAAAACATATTAATGATCGGCAAATTTTTGCAGTTGTTTCACAGATTACGAATTAATAAATTAAATTGTACTACTCAAAATGGATTTAAAGGGTTGGTTTTTAACTTGGTTGAAGAATAACTCTCTTCCTAACTCTTCGCTTGACCATATCTCTTGATATAATCAAAATAACCCTTAATATAATGAATGTTGACAAAATGATTGTAAACATGACCAATATTTATGATATACAATTAAGACAAAACATGAACAATGTATGAAAAAATCAAACAAATTTATTTAATAAAAACAAAATTTACAACCCAAAAAAAAATTTTTTTTTTCATGTCTAATAAAATTTCCATTGTTGCTGATTCAACATTACCTGAATCATCAACTGTATTTCCAATATTTTTGATATTTTTGATAAGTTTAATCTTTTCATCATACTTTCTTTTAGTGCATTGACATTTTTTTTGATTTCGATTTGAAGATAGCCCAAGATACCAAACATTTAGATTGGCACCTTTGTAGACAATGATTGTGATAACCATGTCCACACATGAATATATACACTACAATTATTCAAATTAATATAGCTAGCATAATCACAATTACGTAGTTGCAAAAAATGTTTGTAGATGGTTTCCTAGAAGTAACAAAGGTGATTGGTTATTCGTAAATAAAGAATGCAATTAACACCATTAGATGAAGTATTAATAATCAAAGGACACTGATTTCATGCTTGATATGGTGCTAGTATCAGATTGTCTCTGGACATGAATGCTATGATAAACGTCAACATTCAACATGAATGCACTTTTTGAATATTTTGCAAGTGCATTCTTTACATATTTCTCATATTTGCTTCTTTTTACAATCTACTGCTCCAAGACTTGTATCTACTGAATCTGAATAGAATGCAAGGTCAAACTTAAAGAGTTAATTTTTGTATTATTTAATGAAGCATGAAGATAACATACAAACACCATTAATCTCTTTCATATGGTCCATTGTTTGTTCATTACATTAAAATGGCCAAGCTGCTAAATAGAGTTAGTCAAAAACCCATTCAAGCATGGTTCTATTTCTTGGAAAAATCTTCGTACTTCATATATAGGACCCTCTTTATTTGAACATTCTCTTTCATAAAAGATTTTGGTCATCATCTTCATGTTTGTTTTATCAACATTTTCAGTTGTTACATTTTATTTCTGTTTTTTTTTTTTTGATCTTATTTCATGTTTGTTTATTAACGTTTTCAGTTGAAACCTTTTTATCATTGATATTAGTAATGGCAACATCTAATCATTATAATCAGGATCTTTTACCACTTCTACCTGTTGCTTCTGCTGTTGCTGTTAATAAATGGAGGAAAACAACTTCAAATGTGTTTGTGAAGAGAAAGTTGACAAGGAAGAAGATAATGCCAAAGACATCCATGAAGAATTTGTTGTAGTTAATGATGATGATAATAATAAACTGTGAAATAATCTTGATTCTATACTCTTCAATCTTTTAGTGATGGAGGCAACTTTTGTGTTTTTTCTAATTTTTTTTTTTTGTGCTGTTGGATGATGATGATGATAAATTCCTTGGATTTAAGAATACCTACTTGTGATAATAGCTTCTCACTTCTCACCAACATACAAACCTTCAGAATCATGAAACATGATACTTTTGCTCATGTAATCTGCTACTGACACCTCCACATGTTTTTTTATCCTTATCTTCTTTCAAAAGCATTGTACACTTGAAATGAAATATTAAACATAATCTATCTTGATAACTTCATAACCTCTTCAGGAAATGTCATTGCCAATTGCAAGGCTCCTTCAGATCATTGATGTGTATGTTGAGTTTGATTGCTTGGTAAACTACTAACTAATAGATAATATGAGAAAGATATAATTAATTAATCATTAATTCATGATTCTTTTAAGAATGAGTGAATTTTAATTAGTGATCAGTGGGGCACATTTGTAACATTTTATAGTAAAAATCATCCAGTTCACCTTACATATCCTATTGCAACATGATGTTTCCACTTGCATTTTTGTAAAACAAACATTTGGATATCAATAAACAGACTGTTATGAGTATTTTTATAAAATAATTTACCAACCATGGAGGAGGTGCAAGTAAGGTTGCGGGAGAAACTCCTCCAGAAATCAATCGACAGAGTTTCGACAGGTTACACATTAATTGTTTATTAGAGT